GGAGAGCTTAGATCTGTGTAGTTTCCAAAAAATAGCACAAACAAATATTTTTTTGCAGAAAATTCCCATTTTTAGAAAATTTTGGCTTGTTTGACCTTGAAAAAAAGGTCAAAAGTCAAATCGCAGGGCATATTTGGAATCTCCAGATATGACTTTCGGTCAGGCTTCTGTGGTAATTTTTCCCATAATTCCTTTGGTTTGGGAGATATTTAGCCTTGAATTTTCAAAAATTTTGACAAGGGTGCGTTTCAACAAGTGTCACGCCCAGGCCAATGCACCGACAGAGACAAAAAAACCAGGGTGTTCAAGTTGAGATCATATGTGACCTAAATCCAAGAGATGGGGACACAGGTCCTGGCGGTCTAGGAGGAGAAGCGGTAACGGTGACTTGTTTCCGGCGCCCGACTGCGGAGCCGCAGGAGCCGGCGGAGCTGTACGAGACGGGTCGGGACTAAAACCATGAGTACCGCCAGCGTATACGCTGGTGGTACTAAATACTTTACGTGCCGAAGCCTTGCCAATCATCAACTTGGAATACTGGTAACTTGCATTGGATAACATGGAAACACTAACTTCTTGTTGCCATAGAGATGAATCTAACAAGTTGTCACATCAGTTACTTACACAAGTGAATGGTAAATGCTCCCCACTGTGTAGAGCTGGCGTGAAAGTTCCCGTTCTCTACATGCAGATAGCGTGTGCTGACGGTCTGAGAACGTAGCCTGTTGAACAACGCTACCTTTGTCCCTGATGCAATGCACACTGCAAGATATGAACATCTTTTTATTAGGTAACTGTTTTAAAATTTACACTCAGAGAAGCAGTATGTTCATAATGAATCAGATAAAAAAAGTGTTTCTTTCATTTCACATATATTCAACCTGGGGGGAAAATACAATGCTGAAATTTGAAAATGCCTCTCATTAAAGTTTAAAGGTTAAAAATAAATGCTGAAGTAAAAAATTCTGAGGTTATCTAAGAGCTAAAATTACACCTCAGTCTACTGCTAACAAAGAGGGCAATTTGTTTCTCTTTGAGACATGCACAGTGCACACTTACAATCTGCATTCTTTAATGATTGCTTCTTTTTTGAAGGTTTAGAAATGACTTTGATTCTTTTGCTGTGGAATACTCCGACATCCTGTCCATTGCCATAGAACATCTTGACTGTCAGCATGAAGTGCTTCCTCTTGTCAGAGTCCGAGATGAAGAGGGTTTTGGCTGCACAGTAATGCTGAAAAGAAATGCAGGGATATCAGATACCAGCTGACTGTAGCTGGCTGTCCTCACACACATTCTCTCTCTCTCTTTCTCTCTCTCTGTTTGTGTGTGTGTATGTGTATGTGTTTGTGTGGGTGTGCGCGTGCACACGTGCATGATTAAGTTTATTTTCTCACAACTTAACCGCTTCATAGCTTTCTATCTATTCCAGAAGACAATTGACTTGATTTTAGGAAGCCCAATAAACTAGCATTAATTTTTCATTCAAATCCACCCATGGCAAATTCTCTGATTAGTTCAAATTTTTAACTGGTTGCTTATAAACTATGGAAGCAAATGCTCACCTTTCCGTCCAGGTTTAACTGCACCATCTCCTGGTCGGAGTTCCCTATCCCCATGAAGGCACAAACAGCGGAGTCCTGCTCACTGCCTCCCTCCTTCTCTATCTGCTCCTTTTTCCTCTTCCAACCACTCCCAAATAAGTAGATACATGGAGGTGGGCAAAAAAATCTGAAAGATGATGTCTAGTTTTAGAATTTACAGGTTGTGCTTTAAGTTTACAAACTCTGGGATATGTTGTATATATACAAAACATAAAAAAATGCAATCTACACAAGTCACATTATTTGCTATAAAAAAAAGTGATGTACTTCTTTGTGTTTGGTCAAGGATTCCTGAAATAATTCTTTTGGTATTATATGAATATCTGCATTCATAACTACAGTGGCAAATCTCACTGAAGAGAATCTAATATCAAACACTGGACTAAATGCCTCATTATCATTATCAGCAACACAAAAACAGAGTAAGCTGACATTACCTCAGATATGCTGCCCCTTCCTACAGATATCTGAACATCCAATTACACTTGGGGTGACAGTCAAAATAATGATTGCAGTAATTCTGCTACTTAAGCAATACCATTTTAAAATATTAACTGAATTGATATTGACAGAGGTTAACCAAGATTAATTAAGAAAGGAAAGAAATTATAACTTATAGCAAAAGAAGGTCACCTTAAAACAAATACAGGTCACTGAAAGAATTTTTGGTCAATATATCCTGGCCAATCTATATTATCTACAAAAAAAAATACATAAGAAGCTGAGCCCTTTATCAGTGGTAACCACAAGCCATCACCTGGTGTGTGTGTGCATTGCCTGGGGCAGGGGGAGAGAAGGGGGGGGGGGAGAGACGTCAAGTCCAAGCCTCAGGAATGACACTTGAAACAGGAAACACACACATGCCATCATCAGATACATCACAGCCACTTTTCTCACATAAACAAATTTTACAGCAGTATTAAACTGTCTCCATCATTATGCCCTCTAGTTACAGCAAGTTGACCGAGTCTTTTCACTGTCAATTTTATGCAGAAAAGTCTTAACCGGCAGCTTACTCAGGAAAGCTGATTATATTATTCAACAGCTCACCCCCAGGTAAACATCTGATTAAGTTTGTTACACATGGCGTTGTTGACCTGCATGTTTGCAGGAGAAGGGAATACAAATTACCAGGGAGAGATGCAGGCCCATGGTTTGGAAATATACATTTAAAACAAATGAGGGTCACCTCCCCCAAGGCTAAGCCTACCTTTTTTCATTGCCATAAGATTTTTGAGCTACTTTGGCATGTAATATCACTAAGGTCTGGTCCCCACGGTCCCGCAAATATTTTTTCATTGCTTCCCTAAAAGAAACACAACATTTATTACATATTTAGGAACTGCACCATACAAATATGATAACAATTTCTGTTGAATCAGTTGTAAAATCTAGATGAATTATGTCATTATGTGACTCGACTCTCTCCAAGTTATGTCCGCAAATTTGATTATCACATATTTAAAACAAAAAAAATCACTATAAATAAATAATAAAGTGATAAATGTCCTTATTTCAGTGATGCTTTGCTGATGATTATTTGGAAATCAGTCAAATATAAAATACCTATGACATCACTTTAAATAAATAAAGACAGTTACCACAAAAGTGTAAGAATATAAGAACCAGACAAGAAAATTTCAGAGCTTTCTACTTACCTATTTAACCTCTGGCCTGAGAAATGTCTGTAACAGAAAATAATATAAATTATTATCAAATTTAAATTATGTAATCAGATTATAATAAATGAAAGGAATCACTTAAGAGACTTAAAGCTTTACAATGTATTAGACAAATCAATACATTGTGTATTGGAATAACTCTGTGGTATTATTTTGCCCATCTATATCCCACTTTCATTTTAAATACAATTAAACAAATAACAAAAACATCCAAAATCATCCAAAATCCACACTGTACAGGACAGTAAGCTTGGCCTGTGATCAGTAAGTAAAAGATACTTCTAGTGTAAGATGTCAATCAAAATGTAAAAAGTCAAGAAAATTCAAGTGCAAATATTTACATTTTTATTGAAGCCTGAACATCTTACAGCTTATTACCTGGCTGTGTATTGGGCTGAATGACCAAAAATATGCTCAACTTGTGAAATGTTTAAATAATGAGGGAGATTATTTAATAAATAAAAATATGAAGCTCTCAACAGTTGAAACCTGTCAGTATTCCTTGTTCTAAACTCTTGTCACAAAAGTCTGTGTCCAGTCACGACATCATCAATTATTCACCACCAAGCAAATTGCTCTTACCCACTCTTACATATCCAAAATCATTAACCTTTTGTCCTGCCCTGCCCCTGGCTGATCAAACTGACGCTGGGCATTACGGCAAATCATCCAATATCTATTAAATCTGAGGCCACACACAATGTTTTTATTCTCTTCTTAGAACAAAGAAATAGCCTTTGTTGAACAATAATAACCAATTCATTTATAGTCAAAGACATGAATGCCATTACAATTTCCATTTGATCATTTGCTGTAATTTATGTCCAATTTCATTTTCATTTCATTTTAACTGTTCAGTGAAAGAACAGTTATAAAAATCGCCAATGCAGAACACTATCTTTATTATCTCTACCATCCAATTAGACAGCTGCTATTAAAACCAGCCAACAAAACCAAGTTCACTGGCAAAGGTGGAGAATAGAGCTTTAACCATGGTTCAGACTTAACAGCGAGAAGTTAAGTATCGGCAAGTCACCTAAGGTTGCCCTCGGCGACACTAGTCAAGGACCTTCCATTTTTTTCTCCTCGCTGTAACATAGGTAATCAATGCCGTGACTCAATCTGGCATTGTGAAATGTTACTCAACTTCACATTAGACTTGATTTCCAGTATTGATCTGGGGTGTTTATGTCGTCAGCTCTCCGTCTCTCAATTCACATAGACCAATATTGGCCGTGTCCTATGTCAGAAATCAATGCCACCCTAAGTATTTAAACATCCACATTTCTTTCCTGCCATAAACAAACTGCACTGTGTTGATGACAAACAAGAAAGGTGGCGACATTTTCCCATCCACTTCATTAGGCAATCGTTCATGTAATTAAGATCATAAATTGTCCAATCTAAGTGAAGCCAAGGCCTCGCTGTGACGTGAAAAAACATGGACCCACTGTCAGAATATATATATATATGTGACTGGTATACTACACAGATGTCTTTGGGTTACTAATACTCCTTTTGAAATAATTAAATGAAACAACAATTAAAAAAAGGCCAGTAAATGATTTCCCAAACATAGCAAATTAGTCCCTTGTGCAATCACTCAGTTGTGGAAAGCACCACCAATGAACTACTATTTAAGCTAATAAAAGTTAAAAATCTCCCTCACACAGCACAAGTATTTTTCAATGAGGTTTGTGTCTACTGTGTTGGTACTTGCATATCACTGCATTTTTCATAATATTACATTTAATTCAAGCATCATCTTCATATGAGAAGCATTCATTTAATGATAAAACACAGAAAAAGATGACCTAGAAAAATCCACCTAATCCACCTTGTTACATTAACTGATCAAAGTAAAGTGAAAATGGAAGAAGTTTAAGTGCAAAGCAGGAGCCCAGTGCTCCCTGGCTGCCCCTCCCCTTCCTGCTTACCCATTGATGTGCCTCATGTCCCCTCTCTCACCGTCCCCAGGGTGCCGCACTGGGGGTGAGGGGGTTGGCAGGGGACTAGGAGGGGTATGGATTGAGGTTGCCATGGTACTGATACTTAGTGGACTAGCTGTTGCCATGGGAACCATCTCTCCGTTCACCTTGTCTGGCGGTGTGAGGTTACCTGGTATCATGTGTGCCGAGGACGAGGCTTCTGGAATATACAATACATAAGTACAATGGAGACAAAACTGACAACCTTATCAATATTTGCAAGAAAAACCACACATTGATGGCAACAAAGGCAGCCATACTGTAATACCATGCTGTAATATATATTACAAACATTCTTTGCAGTTTGAAGCCACAGATTGAAAGAAAATGATGTTTTGCTTTTGTTTTATTTAAAAAAAGAATAAAAAAAGAGAAAAAGAAAAGTTAATTAAAAATCTAGACAAATTTTATTGTTCTTTATATAAAGTCATAATTTAACGTTCAAAAATGCTGGTTTCATGATACACAAGTATTCTGAAAATTGGAAATACAATTTGAACTATGAAGGATAAAACTTTTATTAGACAAAAAATAAATGAATAATAATACTAAAAAACAAGCCAAAGAATAAATAAGCAAAGAAATAAATATGTAAATAAATAAAAAAGAGTTTACATTATAAATTAAAAAGATTTAAAACATTTGTCATACTCAAAGAAGTAATTTACTTTTTATAATTTATCTATTTTTACAAGTCAGTATAGTTTGAAATTTATTGAATAAATCTTAAATAAATATTTCTAGCTCCCTTCAAATTTTAATTGCCAGCTGTTCAAATAAAAAAATAGTATTAAGTTGGGAATAATTCACTGCAAAAGCCAGTCTTAAACAGATTCCCTAAAATCCATCAAGTTGTAAGACACCTGCTGTCGGTGACCCCTTCCAGCTCTGTTTATTTGTGAACAAACACTGCAGCTCACGCTCAAATACTAGAGGCAAATTAACCCGCTGATAGGCCCTCTAATCCCAGGCCGCACGTGCCATTCGACCACAGCCACTCCTCTTCACAGGACGTCAGGGTACTTCCCACATCATGAACACCTCTTGTAAACTCCACTACAGACAAGCTGTTACATGAGCACAGTAACAACACGACCACAACATAAACATGGCTTGTGTTTTGTTTTTAATTTTAACATTTATGCAAAAGCTGGTTAAGAAACAAAAGAAAATTACCACATGAATGTTAAATAACTGCAGTAAGTTTTAGAGGATGAATAAAAAGAACAAGTGTTTAATGTAAATAATGCCTAATGCACTTTTAAGTTATGATTAAAATCACGTAATAATTTATTAGTTTGGTGAAAACATCCATAATTATTTAAAGATCTTCACTTAAACCGAGCCTTTAGGAATAAGAAAAATTTATTCATAATTTATAAGAATAATTTTCTTGTTTTTTTATCCTTGTTATCTTGCACAGAATCTTCTAAAATTATCCATTCCTAAATTCCTAATCAAGAAACTTGATTTCTAAATACTCCTCGAATGTTATTCATCTCAGTGGGAAAAATCATCAATTAAAAACCTTTAAACAAGTACTTCAATTGCTGCTTTTGTAAAACCTGCTGAAATTTGGGAATTTTCACACACAAGCCAAGAATCAATTGGCTGATATGAACAAAGCTGTGGCGCTGCACAGACAGCCACGCACACAGGCGTCACTTCCCTGGTCTTGTTCACTAGGGAAAAACTAGTTTTGTTTTGCTGCTTGAAACCAGAGGTTAAACACTGGAGTAGCAGAGCACCGGGGGAGTTCCCATGTATTGAGGAGACTAGTTGCATGCCCTATGCCATGGGAGGACGCAGCCCTCTCAGCTCTCTTTTCCAATATCAAGTTTTAAACCATATTGACTAAAACAGCCACTTCTACACTACGGAAAAGACTAAGGAAAGTAAAACATTTACCCTCCATCAAGTACTGCGCCATATACTCCTCGTAGCCATAGTGGGGGTAGGGGTAGCCCATGGGGCCGTAGTAGCGGTCCTGGTACGCCAGCTTGCCGAGATCTAACAACAAGATTTGGCAGTTTTTGCAGGTTTCTGTCTTGGGCCGTCCTGCTGCTGGAGCATTGCACAAATTAGATGCTAGCAGACATTTGAAGGTGTTCTTATCATTATTTGGATAATAATGCCAGTACACCTGCCTGTGTGGAGATTTTCCCAGGCTTACCCACCATCCATGGCTCTGATAACACACTTAAACCACCTGTGCCCTGCATCAGCATAATGATGACATCACACAGCATTGATTACCTATAATGTAATATGTAGCTACGACCATCAAGATACGATCAATTTTCACATTATCCTCTTTGCTTATTTTATGGGGACCCATGTCTTAATTTTTCCGATAGACTATTGTAATCACTCCTGCATCTATCTAATATTTCTACGTCCACTAGACAAGAACAAAGCCAAGGAAAGGGACCTCCTTCTCGGCAGTAAATTAGCAGCTCTCACTCTCCGCTGTCTTAAAGACCCTCGTGTTGACTTATCTGCTCTCCCCAACACCATGCTTTAACTGCAGCATCAATGGCACATCTAATTAGACTTCCTAGGTAATTAGCAACAATGATTACGTCTCCCATTGTAGACAGTTCTTCATATATGCTTTAAGCATCTGTTGTTTTTTTAGGCTATAGACTGAGGCATGCAGTTGTTAGTATGGCTGCTATCACCTGCCCGCGGCTATTATCTCAATATTCCTGGCTTGTCATCAACTGAGAAGGCCACAATACAAGATTGGGAGCACACAATGGAAGCCAGCCACAAAAACTATTTAGTCACCCTGAATTTTCTATTTCAATTATTAAAGGAGAAATCATAATTATAAACGTGCTTTTGACTTTCGAGATTTCACTTTGTTTGATCATTTTCCTTTCTTATATTGCATGATCAATATAATATTTATCTTCTATGTTAGTTCTTAATGTAGGTCCTAATGGGGAGTGAGAACTTATGTAAATATATTATAGCAGTTTTGTATCAGTTTAAGTGGAGTGTTTCAATGCCAATAGCAGTAAAAGTATTATGACTTCCTGAGAATGCTGTCACCTTCCCGTGCACGGTAAACATCCTTTATGTCCCGGGCAGCCACTCTAGCACCTGTCTGCCTCCGACAGCTCATCATATTTATGTCAGGAAACGTCCTAACACAGGACTTTGAATGACACTTTATACCTGTCCCCTGTCACCAGGTAAGACCTCTGTCATCTCTTTATACCTGTCCCCTGTCACCAGGTAAGACACATGTCATTACTTTATACCTGTCCCCTGTCACCAGGTAAGACCTCTGTCATCACTTTATACCTGTCACCAGGTAAGACACCTGTCATTACTTTATACCTGTCCCCTGTCACCAGGTAAGACACCTGTCATTACTTTATACCTGTCCCCTGTCACCAGGTAAGACACCTGTCATTACTTTATACCTGTCCCCTGTCACCAGGTAAGACACCTGTCATTACTTTATACCTGTCCCCTGTCACCAGGTAAGACACCTGTCATTACTTTATACCTGTCCCCTGTCACCAGGTAAGACACCTGTCATTACTTTATACCTGTCCCCTGTCACCAGGTAAGACACCTGTCATTACTTTATACCTGTCCCCTGTCACCAGGTAAGACACCTGTCATTACTTTATACCTGTCCCCTGTCACCAGGTAAGACACCTGTCATTACTTTATACCTGTCCCCTGTCACCAGGTAAGACACCTGTCATTACTTTATACCTGTCCCCTGTCACCAGGTAAGACACCTGTCATTACTTTATACCTGTCCCCTGTCACCAGGTAAGACACCTGTCATTACTTTATACCTGTCCCCTGTCACCAGGTAAGACACCTGTCATTACTTTATACCTGTCCCCTGTCACCAGGTAAGACACCTGTCATTACTTTATACCTGTCCCCTGTCACCAGGTAAGACACCTGTCATTACTTTATACCTGTCCCCTGTCACCAGGTAAGACACCTGTCATTACTTTATACCTGTCCCCTGTCACCAGGTAAGACACCTGTCATTACTTTATACCTGTCCCCTGTCACCAGGTAAGACACCTGTCATTACTTTATACCTGTCCCCTGTCACCAGGTAAGACACCTGTCATTACTTTATACCTGTCCCCTGTCACCAGGTAAGACACCTGTCATTACTTTATACCTGTCCCCTGTCACCAGGTAAGACACCTGTCATTACATAATACCTGTCCCACCAGGAAAACATACTCGAGTTCTGAGGTAAAGTGGACATTAATTGCACTTGAAGTCATGGTGTCTTTTACTACTAATATATTTAATGTTAACTTAGTAGACATTTGATTTCACTCTCCTAGGCAGCATCTCTCCCAGCCTAGTGTCCAGCCACACACCTATACTAGGTGGTTAGGTAGAATAAGTTTATAATTCATGATAATCCATGCCTCATCTAGACTAACCATGTCAGGATCTAGGTAATTCCAAGTCATAATTCATGTTAATCACAAACCTCACTCCAGCCTAGCAAAGTGACATTATTATAAATGTGACAATTTGTATGAGAATAGCAACCTAATTTCCCACTCTTTCATTCAAATGACACCCAACTACCTGACAAGGGAAGAACCTTGTTCACAAGAGAGAGTGGGCGTGGGAATATATAGAAATAGCTACAACCCAGGCGGGCCACGGCCTGCATACAGATTGGGAAGACTTGACGTGTACAGGGTCATATAACCTGATAAAGTGATCAACAGTGACAAGAATAAAAACCTGAGGTTGATCTCGATGCCTTAACCTGGGTAATCTTGTTAAAGAACACAATTCTCTAAACCTGGGAGTTGACAAAATCACAGGTACTGAATGAGACTACCAAAGGAGTCTCTACCTCATAATGAACAGTGCAACTGGGGGAAACTACAGAGTTACTGTAGAGAACAGCTCTACCTCATAATGAACAGTGCAACTGGGGAGAAACTACAGAGATACTGTAGAGAACAAAGTATTGAAATGAAACAGGGTAGAATACAAGTACAAATATGTACTGGCAAATAAAATTAAATAGCCTTGGCAATGATAAACAACACTTCAGATTAAGGAACAGCCTCTGGAGGAGGTTTCTGGATAAAAGCCTGATCAGTTTGAGTAAGCTGGTGCTCCAGGCTTTAAAAAGAATAAAAA